TATTTTCTCTCATTAAATTTTTTCGGGTTAATTATAAATTTGATATCTCAACTTTCAAAAAATTTCTAATTTAATATCTCAACGGAAAACATTTGAAATCGATTGTCTGAACCTGTTATAAATTTCAATCAGGCATTGCCTGCTTAAATTTTCAATCAGATGTCAAAAAACTGACCCATCACAAGTAGGACCCACATTTGTCCAGTCACTAGCCTAAGTGGAATGACACCAAATTGCTGACTATGAAAAAACTAAATCTGACTTGGCAAACTCTACGGATTCACATTATTGTCCTAATTTCTCTCCACCAAATCTTTCTGCTTCTCTTCTTCACCAGCAAAATTTTCCTCTCCTTCACCAACAACTGCTGAATCTCTACACTCCACATATAAAATCATCGCCAAAACTTGCATTTTCAGCCACAAAATCTATATTTTAAATAGCTAGGTGATGAATGGGAAATCCAATTTGTTCTTTCTTCTCTTCTTCAATGAATTAATGTTTTTGTATCGCCCAATTTGTTCTTTCTTCTCTTCTTCAATGAATTAATGTTTTTGTATCGCCTCCTTACCATTTTTCTAGTTCTTTTTGCTTTGAATAATCATTGTTGTCCTTTCTATTCTCTTAGAGATGTGATTGCCCGTATTATTCAAACCCATTTCGGTGCATTTTTCGTTTGTAGATCAAGAAGCCTAAATCAGCTCGAGGACCTTGCGTTTATCAAATACAGCTAATTCAATTCTCTTAGATCCTCTATCTTGAATAAAATCCACTTAAATTGTGCGATTCTTTCTCCTAAAGTCGTGGACTTATTGCTCAAACTTGACTATTTTTAGGTATATCATCTTCCTTTTTATCTTCTGGAAAACGTATTTTTTCTTTTGGTTTAATGTGTGGCCGTTACTGATTAGGTAGTGATCCCATGATTCATTTGAGTCGGTAATTATTTGTGGCTGTTATTTCGGTCAGTAATTGCCTTTCATTGTTGCCCTGGCATACAGTATGTTGCCTCACACAAGTCAGCAGCAACGGTGGCCATGGCCTGGAGGAGGAAGATAATGGTTACTATCACAAGCAAGACCAATAGGACGGAGCTATAATGATTTATATACAAATGGTTAATTTATTTTAATTCTTTTTTTTTGTTTTCTGTAAATTTTTTTTAGGAGAATTGGATTTATGGTATTTAAGAGAAATTTATGGATTGTTATTTTTTAGAATTTGATTTTCGATGTTTAAGGCTTTTGAGACTAGAAAAAAAAGGAGAGAGAAATATATTAGAAAAGCGAAAGGGAAGAGAGAGAAAGAAAGGAGGATTGAAGGAGAGGGAGAGGGAGAAGAGAGCAAAGAGAAAAGAGAAGGAGAAATGATAAAGAAAGACTGGATTTGAAAGATGAGGCGCTGTTGGTGGGCAAAAGTAGCGGTTCATGCAGGCACTGAGATCCAATGAGCCTGATGTTGGTGGTAATGATGGTTTGCAACGGAGGATGAGCCATCTGCATAAGAGAGGCTTCTTCTCTAAACACATTAGATTAAGGGTGATAAAGTCATTTCATTGTCTTTGCCATGTCGGTCAATTATTTGTCCATACAATTGATTTGCTGCTGTCTATATAAGCAGCGCCGGTTCAATGAGCCGCTATTTCCGTTTCATTGGACCGCCGGTTTGAGATGTTTAAAATTTTGAATCGAAATCGACTCTTGAACTTTCGATTTCAGTTCGGTTTCGATTCCGACACGGTTTTGATAAACCGACGGTTCGAATTACGATTTCAATTCGGTTCCGGTATTATACAAATTTTTTAAAAAAATAATAAAATTTTGATTCCAAATTCATAAATAAATAATAATTTTAAAATGTTTAAATTTTGTTAACTAAATAAATTATTATAAAATTTTACTAAATAAATTATAATAAAATTTTAAAGAAAAACTTCTAATAACTTAGAAACTATTATACATTAAATTTACAAATTTTTTGCTAACTCACTAATATAGAAAAAATTTTTTTATTTTGGGCTTGAATTAAATTAAAATCGAAAATTTTTAATTTAATTGCCTACGTATCCTCTTGGGAATTAGAGGAAATCAAAGCACACGTAGTTCTTTTTTTTATTACAATGGAAAATAACCTCCCAATTATTACAATTAATTTTAGTCATCGTTGCCACTGATCCTCATTAATGAGCCGGAATCATCATCATTGCTTCAATTTTATTGGTCTTGAGTTCTCAATGTCGCTCTAGTCCAATCGTCAACACATTCTTGCATTTCCACATTATTTGGCGATAATCTTGACTGTGTTGGATCCAAAATTTGTCCACCCACACTAAAAGCTTGTTCCACTACAACAGTAGAAATTGGACAAGCAAGAATATCTTTTGCAATTGAACCTAAGATTAAAAAGCGATTTGCATGCTTGTTCCACCAATCCAAAATGTCAAATTTTGTTATGTCTTCATCCGCATCATCACTTAAAAACTCAAAATCTGTGCTAATATATGTCTCAATTTCTGTGTATGAATGTGGACATTCCCTTGGTTTTTTTGAAACATTTTGCATGAAAGTAAATTGTGTAAAATGAAATTTAGTAGATTGTGTAGTATGAAATTTAGTAGATTGTGTAGTTTGTGGATGTAATACTTGAGGAAGAGGAGATACTAATTTAAAATACTCATCATACAATTGACAGGCATACCTTAAAACATTATTAGTAAGAGAAAAATAATCTACTTCAATATTAAAAGATCCATAATAAAGACGAAAATTAAAAGATCCATAATAAAGACGAAAAAATGCAACTAAATTTAAATCATAATAAAACATTCTTGTAATGCAACTAACTTAAATCTAGGACAAAGAAAAAATGCAACTAAATTTAAATCCGGAATTTCAGTATAATATTTTAACCATTCAGTTTTCATCATGAATATATATTCTTGTAAATCATCATCATTTTCATTTTCAATTATGGCACTACTTATGGCCAAACAATGAAATGGAAATAAATGGGGAATACGATAATAAACACCACTAAAAATTCTTATACAATTTTTAAAAACTTGCAAAATATCTAATATTTTTTTACAAAATAGTCCAATTGATTGGATAAAGTTGAAAATGTGATGCATGCAATTGCATAAATAAATAAAGAATATCTTTATATTCATAAGGCTCATTTAACATTTTATGAATCGAAAAATTGAGATTAGAAGGAATTGAGAATTAGATGTATGAAAATAAAAAATAAACAAAAGATAATTACAATATTAAGAAAAATAAAGCAACAGAAAAAATAATGAACTATGTAAATTTGAGAGAATTTTGATTGAGAATAAAAGGAGAGTTAGGATATAATTGGTTGTGAAAAAAAATCATCAACTCATCATAATTTTTCATCTTTTTTTTCCTAAAGTCCCTTTATAATAGAAAAAATAATAAACTATTTTTTAGATAAATTTAGTAAATTATAATAAAATAATAAATAAATAAATAATTGATTAAAAATGAATAAAATTTATTTACCAAAAATAAAAAATTAAAAGTCATCTCAAGTTCTCAACTAGCGGTTTGTACCTTTTTTTTGTACACAAAAAATTATTTTTTTTTACAAATTAACTATTTATGTACCATTTTTTGTACAAATTAAATCAAATCACGTGTACTTTTTTCACGACTAAATAAATTATGTACCATTGTGTACTTCTCTTCACCATAAATTAAATCAACTACAATCAAATAAAGTGATATAAATTTTTTTATAAAAAATTTTAAGTTACAAATAATTTTATTTGTACATCCGATTCACTGGACCAGAACCACCGATTAACCATCGGTTCCAAATCGATTTAAATTTATATTTTAATATTCATATGAACCTTGATATGCTTTTAAACCTATGTCTATGAATGCAGCTAACTCAACAAACGTGGGACCAAATTGGTATTTGTCAGCTTTCTGGCATCCACGTCAACAATTGACACTCACTTGTAGATGTTAAAAAGTTCAATCACCACGGGTATTTTTCGTTCAGACATCAAAATTATAAAATTTCAAAAGTTCAGAACTAAATTTATAATTTATCCAAAATTTGCTAAAATCGTGATTGGACTATAACATCAAACAACCCACGTATTCTTAGAAGTTATCTACTGTAAACTAGCAAAGGTTTTGGAAGCGTGTACTGCACCATTGTATACTGAGGATAAAGCTCAGTAGGGATATTAGTCTCAGAGATCATAGCACTTTGAGGAGGGAAATGATTGCGCTGGAAACAAAAGGGGCAGATCCAGATCTTACCGGTGACATAGACATGGCCGAAAGAATTGAGGACAGAGGAGCATGTCTTACAACAAAGAGGGGGAGTAAGGAAGTGTAGGAATGTCACGATGGTGGAGGATCGGAGAGATCGAGGCGGTGACTAGGATAACGCACTTATTGGCTTTGACTTTGGTGCGCTGCCAGCCATTCCATGTCATACGAACTCCATCGATTTCTTCTGGATCTATGTTGGCCATCTCCGACATAGTGTTTAATTGTTTTTTTTTTTTTTTTTTTTTTTTTTTTTTTTTTTTTTTTTTTTTTTTTTAAGTTTTTTTTTTTTTTTTTTTTTTTTTTTTTTTTTTTTCAGTTTTGTTTTAAGTATGACAATTCCATGGATAAAGGGGAAGAGAGGGGTTATTGCAAATGGGATGGAGAGAGAGCGCACGAAAGATAGGAAAGGAAAGAGAATGGAAAATATTAGAAAATAGCTGTGATTGCCTTCTTTATCATTCCTACGTGGCTTTATAAAAGTTGAATCATCAAATTTTAATAGAAAAAGCGGATAACTTTATTAGTCAAAGCTAAATCATCAAATTTGAATAGAAAAAGTGGGTCACACGTATTTCATTTATATTTTCGGTATGCCACGTAGGCAGATAACACTTAAAAAATTATAATGGTTCACTTGGTTGCAAACGTTTCCGTTGACATATTTGACCTTGCTTTCAAAACGACAACGCATAAGTAGGTTTAAAAACACTAACCCTTGCACTCCTGTTCTGCTTCTCTCTTTCTCGCTCGCAAGCAAGGCAGTCAATCCAAGCCATTGAAGCCGTTCAACATGAGCAGATCAGGACAGCCACCAGATCTCAAGAAGTAAGTGCCGTCAATGATGTTAATATATTCAAATAATCACCATCTTCTTTCTTTTTTTGTATTAATTGCTAATTTTTACACTTCGTTCTTGTTTTTGTGTTTGGGATTTGCAGGTACATGGATAAGAAACTTCAAAGTAAGCTATTTACACTTTCCTTCAACAATTTGTTTTCCTTTTTTACTTAATTATTGTTATTGTTCTGTCTTTGTTTTTATAGGGTTTCAACTGAACTTTCTCCTGTTTGGTCAACCTTAGAAATTATATATTCATGACTTTATTTTTTTTTCTTTCCATATAAATTGTAAACAACGTGTAAAATCTTCAAAATTTAATGAAACAATGTTGGGTTAGGTTTATGTCAAGCAATTAGATTTTGTTTTCAAGTCCTCTTTGAACAGTTATAACTTAGAATTTGGAGTTCAATTGATTAATATTTCAGGCATGTCATGGAAACAAAGAATTCATACAGCTGAATTTATCTAGTGTGGTTTAAGGCTTAGGCTTTACGATTGATTTGACTGACAAGTTTGATGGGTTTGTCCTGGCATAAATTGATAAGTTTTGTGAATGTGATAATAATTTAAATATGTTATCTTGTTTGGCCTGAGTTTGGTTATTTAGTGCATCTAAGTATTTCTACAGACAAGTTTGAGAGATATATTTAATGATAACAAAAAAAATGTGGTCCTAACTCGACATATTTTTATTTTACTGCCAGATTGTGGTAAACTTTCCTGCAATTTTTATCCATTGATGATACTTGGAACTGCTTTTAATTTAGAGTTCATACCAGATGTTGATTGGCACATTAGTCTATGAGAGGCCCATGATGGAGACACTTTTGGGGCTTGGGAGGGCTCTTTGATTGAAAGTCAGCAGGTGTTGTGATTATTCAAGATAGAATTAGGACTCCTTAAGATATAACCTTAAAATCTCTTACAGGGCCTTTTGAAAGAACTCTACGTTCTCTGAGTTTTAGGAACTCAAACTTTTGTTTCAATTCTTCTTACATCTTTCATTTATGCAGAGGCTTTTAAACAACTGAATGCAAGGCTAAATACTAATAGCTACCCAGTAGAATAAAGAACTTTCTATCTTGTTCAATTGAGGGATTTCAATGAATATTTTGGTCTCTTACATTCTTTTGTTTTTTTGTTCTTAATAGTGATGTGTGGTTATTTGATAATTTTCATCTTGTCAATGAATTTACTGCATACATGGCTTCCTTTATTCATGATAATTCTGCTTTAGAAAGATGCAAGCGACGAGCCTTCTGTAAGCATCAATATCCTAAGTCAAAGACATTTTATTGATGTGTTTTATAAACAGTTGAAGTTGGTGATGCACATATGTATACATATGTTGCATGATTGGCATTAGGATTGAAGTTGCTTATTTCCCTTTCTTATTCCTTTTATTAATTTCTTTGTTTCTTTACACAGTCAAGCTGAACGCAAACAGGATGGTGGTCGGAACACTTCGTGGATTTGATCAGTTCATGAATTTGGTGGTTGACAACACTGTGGAGGTGAATGGTGATGAGAAGAATGACATAGGCATGGTGGTAAGTCTTTTTTTTTTTTTTTTTTTTTTTTTGAATGTTGATGGAGAAGGAATGACATAGGCATGGTGGTAAGTCTTTTTTTTTTTTTTTTTTTTTTTTTTTTTTTTTATCCATTCTTTAGGTCATAATTTTTGTTGGATGGTTCAATTGTCTATGATTCTTATATTACTTGCATAATTAAATTGTATAATTTTGTGGCCGCAGGTGATCAGAGGAAATAGTGTTGTCACCGTTGAAGCGCTAGAACCTGTAAACAAAACACAGTGATTATGGCTTTTTATTAGTGCTAATGACATAGCTTCGAGCGCTGTATTTTGGCTAATATGGCTACTTGTAGTTATTGGATGTAAGTGATTCTAAATTTGCAGATGCGAGAAAGCGTGGACCTATTAGTTTACTGGTACTTTTGATTGCTAGAAATATATGAGCTTTCTATTTTATCAGTAAATTCTTCTCTAGATTTCTTTTCTAGCAGGCTTATTGGTCTCTCTCTCTCTCTCTTTAAATCAGAAAACACATTTGCGTTTTGAATTTGAAATGATGATGGCCTAGTGCTAGGGTTGGAAACTGTACATCTTTGCTTCAGTCATAATTTTGCTTGAGCTAGCTGGACATTAACATATGTCAACTTGATGCATACACATTTAATGCATGAATAAGCCAAAAATATACTCCCTTAGCTCTATTTACTACCTCCCATCTATAATAGTTGTCACATTTGAGAAAATAGTTTATTTCAAAATATTTTTTACATTTGTGGTTTCAAGGAGTAATAAATATATTTTTTTTTTCCATGGTTACTCTTTATATATGGCCAGTAATTATTATTTTAATTTAATGGTTTTTTTAGAGAATTAATTTTTTTTTTCCATGGTTACTCTTTATATATGGCCAGTAATTATTATTTTAATTTAATGGTTTTTTTAGAGAATTAGTATTAAATTAAGGGTAATATAGTCAATTTACTTAATAATTTATGATAACTTAGACAAATTTAATAGGTTTTTTAAGAAATAAGAAATTTTAAATGTGACAAGTATTATGGAGCAGAGGTAGTACGAGAATTATCCTTGCACTTAGATTAAGGAAGCAGTTAAATTAAGGAAGCGGTTAAATTGAAATTTTGTCTAAAACACTGTTAACTCGTCCCCAATTTCATACAAGACAATAATGGATGAAAGAGAAGATGAGTTAATTAAAGTGGTGTTTTAATTCTTAGTAGAGGGAGAACAAAACCGTTAAGACATTTCACATGTTTTATTGCCCCAGAAGATTCAAAACAGTTGGGGAAGAAAATTTGTGTCAATTTTCGTATTTTTAGATTTAAATTTTCTTATTCCCTATTCTTCATTTTATGCATGCAAAACACAATTAAGAGCAAAAAATTTTCGAAACAAGAAAATACCTCTACCTCAACTTTTTTAAACTGGCCTTACATAAATATGGCATAGATCCCTTTGATCTCAACACAGTCCCTAATAAATTGCTTGCAACTTCCGGAAGATGTGCCCTGAATTCAACAACCAATCATTAGGTTTGATCTTTTTTTCCCTTTGACAAACAGGTGCCTTTTATAGGCTCTGACGCCATACAACCCTTGAATAATGTTCAAGAAGTAACAAGAAGAGACAATAAGAGCAAAAACATTTCTGAAGGTGTAAAAAATGCTGTTCAAATGATGTTGCTTTCAGACTTTGAGAAGGGTGTATCAAATGCGTGCAGTATATAAAAAGTTGTAAGCAAGTTTTCCATTTTTGTTCAGAGAATATACAAAATATGGCATAATGCTAAAATTAAGGGTAGAGATACTACTGGAATGAATCTTCCTTAGAACAAAGGTAAGAAACGAGTTGAAATACCTCCAAAAAGGATAAAGAAAATTCCTCTTAAGAGACGGACAATAATTCGTTCTCTATTACATGAACTTGGTCGTTCTTTGTCATGTGTGCATAAGCTGATTAAAAATGGAAAAACGAAGGACGTTCCGATAAAATCAGGCCACTACGAAAGGATGAGAACAAGAAGCGCACAATTGAATATTGCCTATCACTGACATAGGTACAATTAACAATAGACTCCTATTCCTTAACATGCACAATGTGATTCATATTAATGCAAAATGGTTTTACATGTGCAAAGAAATAAGTAAGTCTTTTCTTGCACATAATGAAGAGGAACATTTGCGCAAATGCAAAAACAAGCGTTTCATTCCAAAAATAATGTTTTTTGCTGCTGTTGCTTGCCCTAGGTTTGATTCCAATAACCAAATTGTTTTTTTTATGGTAAAATTAGTATTTGGCCTTTTGTTTACAAAAAAACCTACTAAAAGGAATAGCAAAAATAGGGCAGCAGATACAATGGAAACAAAATAGGTCTACTTCAGCATTTGAGGGCTCTCCATCATCGCCATGCAATTGCTTTTTCAGTTTACGACTTTTTGTGCTTGATTTAGTTTGGGTAAGGATTTTGCTAATCTCTTCTTTCTAGAAACAGATTTGGAGGGTGCTTTTTCCTTCACCATTTGTGCTTTGATTGCAAGTATACCTGTATTTCTCGACCTAAATGTCATTTTATGACAACAAATCGGCGTCAATGAATGGAACTGAAATGATGGTTGTAGAACGGATCAAAAAGCATGCATGGAGGTGCAAAGGGAAGAGAGTTTCGGATAACTGATGTTTGTTCTGAAAGATTCTGTTCGAATAAAAGGAAAACAAACGGGTATAAAAAATAAAGACCAAGCCTTGTCGCTTGGAGGGAAAGTTTTGTTTGCCTACCGTTTGGCAAAGTTATGCTAATACAGGATAACTAGTTGAAGGATCACACTTCGCCGATTTGATTTATTATTACATATTATATTTTATCAATTGTATTTAATATATTATTAAAATATCTATTTCCCCATATGATTTTAAATTAGCATATTATAGAGATTTTAATAATTTAAATAATTATAAAATTTAATATCCTGTTTAGGTAATTCTATATCGATAATTTAAACAATTTAAACACCATATATATCGATAATTTAAACAATTTAAAAACCATATATTATAAATAATTTCTATAAAATCTTTTACGATTCAATAATTTAATATGGATTTTAATATATAGATAAATATTATTTATAAATTTATAGAAAATATATAAAAATTTAAAAAATTAATATTAAAGTAACAATTCCAAATTTTTTAAAAAATATTTTAGTTTTAATTAAATATAGAACTTAAATATATTAAAAATAGAAAGTTTTATAGAAAATAAAGTCCTTAACTATTTATATATTTTTTATTTAAAAATTTTGAATTTCTTTAAATTTTTAAAATTTTTTAAAAGGATTCTAATTTTCAGATTTTATATATATATATTATTATATAACCATAATATCATAGTTAAATAGTATATTTGAAAAAAAAAAGAAATTTTTCTATATAATAGTAAATTAAAATCCTGAAAATTAGATTCTTTAGTAAATTTTAATTTTTTTATAAAGAAAATAAAAAATGTGTGCTAGAAATTCAATTAAAATAAAAAATATATAAATAAATACTATAGATCTATTATTTTCTATTAATAAAGGATTGCTATATAATACTTACTAATATGAATGCTTATACTTCTAAATAATAAATAATAATTATATGAGAATGATAAATAATAACCAAAAATATCAAAATCTTTAAAAATGCTATACTCCAACATATAAAAATTAAGAAGATAAAATATTATTTTATGAAAAAGTACAAAGTAAATAATTAATATTGATTCTGTATGTCCTCCTGTTGGATTTTCAAATACAAAATAACATGACCTGCAAATAAATAAAAAAACAGAGAAGTCCATAAAAAGTTCCTTCCATAAATAGAAAAAGAATGAACAAAAGAGATTAGAGAGTTAATTACCTCAGTCGGAAAAGATGGTAATATATCTTGATCATAAAGTTAATATTGTCATACTTCTACTATTTAAAATCTACAAACAACAATAACATATATATTATTTATATATATATAAAAAAAAAAAAAACACAACACAATAAAAAAAAAAAACACAACACAATCAAAGCACAAATAATTGAAAGAGCCAAAAAAAAAATAAAATAAAATAAAAAAGCCAAAAGAAAATATTGAATAGGGGTATTTATAGATAGATATATAAATAGAGATAAAAAAAAGTTTTAAAGTTTAAATTTTAAAAATTTAATAATTTCAAAGTGGTTTATATCTTGAGAAAAGAATTTTTTAAAAAACATATATATAAATAAATAAAAGAAGAAAAAATTCAAAAATTTATAAAAAAAAAAAGAGAAAAATAAAAAGCTAAAAAAGTAGGGCGCCACATCAGCAATTTTAACATATTTTTAATTTCAGGATTATATATATACTAGGTTAAGACCTGCACATTATCCGGATTGCTTGAAAATCATATATGATGCAGTTGTTTGCTATTGGTTGTCTGAAAAATTATGTACGATGCAATTGTTTGCTACCTGTAAAATACATTTAAACATTATTTTAATTCGAAAGTGAAGTATCTTTAAAATAATTCATATAAAGTCCAAACCCTTGCAAACTACAACTGAATAAAACTTTTTTTAAAGAAAAAAACTCCAAAACCTTTTTCTAATCTTTCTTCCCATGGACAAAGAAGATTATATATTATATAAAAAAAACATTACTTATTACTTATTAGATGTTAAATAAGTTTTAAATATTAGAATTTTATGCTAAGTAATCTCAAGACAATCAAAGGGATTAATCTGACTCCTATACAATTCTATTAAATGGTTTTTTGCTTCATAGAAATCTCAAGAGGAGAGTGTTAACCCAACTTCATAGAAATGGTTTTTTGCTTCATATATATAAGTTTTTTTGCTTTCATATATAATAATAATATATATATATATATATATAGTTATTGCCATAAGTTTTTTCTATATATATGTTATGCTAAGTTTTTCTATTTGAACCGCCGTTCTTCATTGTATGTATAGAAGACTTCTATAAATTTTACCTAATATTAATTATTCTGTTTGCTTCCTTTTCCATCTCATTACCTTTTTATGCACTAAAACCCTTGCAGGAGCAAGATTTCCAAACTGCATTAAAGGCACAACAGTTTTTTGTTTCTTTTATTCTATGGTTTTCTTACAATGGAGGACAACGTGAAAATTAAACATATTGTCGAACAAAGAAAGTAGTAGCCTACAAAGTGCAGGTAAATATTCCAAAAGTAAAACCTTATACTGAATTGTTGATTAGAAAATTAAAATTTAAAAGATAAAGTAAAATTAGGGCTTATGCAAAATCAAAAGTAAAATTTTTTGGAAATATAATTAGGTAAATATATAACTTAATATATAATAAATAGACAATATTTAAAAACCGACCATCTTAATTAGAATGTAGACTATAAATTGTAAACTGCTGATGTGATGAACCGACCGCCTCCATTGTTTCCACTCTAGGCTTTGTCAATTTCCTTTTGGTGCATTTGAGTCCATAGCGTTCCTTTCTTTTGATTTTCATTTTTGTGGTTTGCAGGAGTGCCACGTGTGCAAGAAATAATATTCAAGCCCACCATGAATTTCAAAAGAAAAAAAAAAGGAATTTAGGTTGATGATTGTTGGGTTTGTAAGATTAATAGTGACCCACAAATAGTCGGTGGCATTTCTCTTGTTTTTAAAAGGAAAAATTGGGTTATAATTAAATAATTTTTGAACTTACTAAATACTACAATTAAGTAATTGAAATAATTTAATTTTGGAACTTTTTTTTTTTTTGAAGTTAAAATGGGAAAATTTTATTACGAAATCAATAAATCAAGTAGAACAGGAGGTGGTACAGAATTCCAAACCCCCAAGCCTGCTGGTGGTACAGGAATTCCCAAACCCCCACAGCCTGCTTCGGAATGTTCCAACTTGCTAACGTATGTGCAGCTACAATTGCAGACCTGGTACAACAAAATTACCATTTTACGGGACTGGATATCTGCAGAGACAAAAGAGATTTGCAGTCCCTGACATTATCAAACCAAAAGCAGAACGAGTCATTGTAGTATCATTCGTTGATGGCATTTGCAACTGACTGAGAACGGTTTCCAATAAAAATATAATTCCATCCTTGATTTCTATCCAGCCTCAAAGCTTTCTCTCACGGCTATGGACCTCCAGGCCAACCTTAGCAGTTAAAACAACCCGGAAATTTTTCTTCACGCTTGAACAGCAATAAACTCAGAGGTTGAATCCTAACTACTATGCCAATACCCACATAACCAGAAGCCACTCCAGTTGAAGCATCCGTGTTTCACTATTAACTCACTTTTAACCAGTTAAACGGGGGTGGACTCCATGTACGATTTGAGTTTGCTGGAGAAGGAACTACCAAACCATGAAGCTTAGCTTCCTTCCATGCGTGCCAAACACCCGAAGCTAGTGAAATTACTGCCCCTGGATTCCTGCTTTTTTGACGCCATACCATATCATTTCTAGTTGTCCATAATGCCCAACACACCATAGAAACATAACTCAAATTCTCCAAAGTCAAGGAGTTGGAGGCTTGCTGAAACCACTCCCCAAAAGATATAGCCGAAGACCACCGAAATCCAAGATGGGAAAGAGTCCAAACCTGTCTTGAAAAAGGGCAGTTGACAAGAATATGAAGAATAGTTTCAGAATCTCCAAGACATAGAGGGCAAATATCTTGAATGTCCACCTTCCGAGAGCATAAATTCGTAGGCATAAATTCCTCCTACAAGGTAGAACATCCACATACTGCACGCTCAAATGAAATTTGGTAACCTCTTGGGTGGGATCTTCATCTTCCACAGAGCTGAGTCCCACTTATTAGTTAGACATAAATTGTTGACGCAAGAGGATTATGTAGGGAGTAATCTGTAAGCACTTCTTGGACTGTAAGCACTCTTGACTGTGTATGTACCTTTTGTGTCAAATTTCCAGCAAACCCGGTCATCTCCCATGTGATTACTTAAAGGAATAGAGAGGATACAAGCAACATCTCTTGCATTGAATAATCGTCGAAGCCGCTCAACATCCCATCTTCGTTGTACAATAAGATCTGAAACCAGGAAAATATTACTATTGTGTGGTCGAGGAGTGGAGATAAAAGAACACTCTTCGACAGGCAACCAAGGAGAATCCCAAATAGATATGTTGGAACCACTACCAACCCGCAAATATAATCCCCTTTGAATCAAACTCTTAGACCCCCAAATGCTTCGCCAAACATAGCTCGGATTGGAGCCTAGGATTGGAGCCTAGATTAGCTTCCAGAAAACTACAAGTCGGAAAATACTTTGCTTTCAAAACACGTGCAGCCAATGAATCTGGGTTTACCATGAGTTTCCAGCCCTGTTTACCTAGAAGAGCTATGTTAAATTCATGAATTTTCCGAAATCCTAGCCCTCCGAACACCTTCGGGATGGCCATTTTGTTCCAAGCAAGCCAGTGAATACCCTGAGAGTAGTTCCGCCCGCTGCCCCACAAAAACCGATTCATGATACGTTCCAGTTCCGTACATAAAGTCTTGGGTAACAAGAAAAGACTCATAAGGTAATTAGGTAAAGCATGAAGAACCGTTTTTAACAAAATTTCTCTTCCCGCACCCCACGGGGAGAGAGACTTTAGCTCCCGATGAGTATTAAACGCTTCCAACAATTCGGTCCCTTAATGTTAATTTAAAAACCTCCTTCCGATTTCGACCCATGTTTGAGACGGTTAAACCCAAGTAAGTGCCTAAAAGTATCCTTTTCCGTAAACCTGAAGTAGGAACAAATAATTTGAATTTTCTGGACTCACGTTGCTCGAGGGTATTAGCGCTGAAATAAATGGAAGACTTATTTTAAATTGATCTGTTGCCCTGATTTCTGCCTCATACATAGCCAAAATATGTTTGAGAGTACATAGCCAAAATATGTTTGAGAGATTGTGATTCTTGAACCGAAGCCTTCAAAAACACCAAACTGTCATCAGCAAAAAATAGATGAGAAATTAACGGTCCTCTCCGACAAACTCGAAAACCACTCAAATTGTCATTCTGAATAGACATCTGAATTATATTTGATAAGCCTTCAGCACAGATGATGAATAAATACGGGGATAGAGGGTCACCCTGTCGCAAACCCCGAGTGGGGATAATGGGTCCAAGCTCTCTGTTATTCCGCAAAATCCAGTACTTAACCGAAGTTAGAGTAGACATTATAAGATTAATCCATAGAGCATGAAAACCCAACTTAGTTAACATTTGACGATGAAAGGACCACTCCATTCTGTCATATGCTTTACTGATGTCCATTTTGACAGCTGCAGAAAAATTAGAACCCCTAGTCGTCCTATGAAATGCATGTAAAGCTTCAAAAGTACAATTATCCGAATATTTCCTACCCGCAACAAAAAGGCACTCTTGGCTTTCCGAACAGACGCGGAAGAATAGTGCGAAGACGATTTGAAGACGATTTGCGAGCATCTTAGTAATGACTTTTAACAGAACATTGCAAAGAGCAATCGGTCTCAAATCAGTCATAGATTCAGGGGATGATTTCTTAGGAATCAAAACCAAACCAGTCACATTCAGATAATCAGGGATAGACCTGCTATGAATTATCTCAATACAGTATAGAGCAATATCATTACCTATAATGTCCCAGTAGCCTTGGAAGAAGCCAGGATTGAACCCGTCAAGTCCCGGGGCTTTGTCGGCCTTCATATCAAACACTGCTGCCCGAACATCTTCAATTGAGTAAGGAGCTAACAAGAACTCATTTTGCTCCTCGGTGATAACAGGCTGAGTAAAATCGGAAACCAACGTAGAGGTGCAATTTTGGGAAGCAAACATATTTGTAAAATAACGAACCATGAGATCCTCTAAAACGAACCATGAGATCCTCTAACCCGGAATTCAAGTGACACCAGTTACCAGATTCGTCTCTCAAAGAAGAAATTCGATTCTGTTGTTGACAGGCTGAAGCTCTTCGATGAAAGAAACAGGTATTAGCATCACCTTCCCGCAACCAGAACTCTTTAGCACGTTGTTTCCAAAAAATTTCCTTCTGTAACAATAATTCCTGATACCTATTTTTTGCCTCCAGAAATCGGACATTATCCCCTGCGATACGAGAACCTATTGTAGCAGCCATGATAGCCAAGCAAGTAGCAAATTCCCCTTTTTGATAATGGCGAAATTCTTCCCCCCAAACCTCAAGAAGTGCTCTGCAACGAGAAATCCTTTCAGCTAAGCCCACCGCTGTTCTCTAGCCAACAACCCTTAATAGAATCCTTCAACAACCCATAATCAGATTCTTACAAGCCGCCTCCCTCCTCCAGCTGTTCTCAAAACGGAATCGTCTAGCCTGAGCCCGAGGCATAAAGTGACGTAGTTCAAGGTAGATCGGGAGATGGTCGGATGAAGATTTGTCAAGAACCATAGCTCGAGCTTGAGAGAATTTTCGGCGCCAAGAGTCAGTAGCCAAAATATGATCAAGTTTTTCCTCAATTAAATTGCCACTAGTGCGACCATGTTCCCAAGTGAAGGCATAACCAGACATAGGAAAATCATACAGATGTGCATCTGAGATAGCAGCTTGAAACTTGGAATCCCCGAATAAGATAATTAGGTTGAGCCCTACCTCCTCTCTTTTCATACGAAGCAAGAATATCATTAAAGTCACCTAAACACAACCAAGGTAAGTCGCTGTGAGAAGCCAAAACACGAAGTAACTGCCAAGAATTATTTCTTCTGGTTCTATTTGGATCACCATAGAAACCCGTGAGCCGCCAAACACCAAACCGGGGCAGTTCCACTTCAACATCTATATATCTAGAACTGGAACTGATAAGATTTATTGACGAAACACCCTTCCAGAGTAATGCCAAACCACCACTATGGCCAAATGCCAAACCACCACTATGGCCAACACAATCAACATTAACAAAACCATCATAATCTAATAATGATTGTATTTCCGCAATTTTATTAGAGGCACAAAGGGTCTCAATAAGAAAAATAAAATTTGGTTTCTTGTCATTAATGATATCCTGTAAAGTACGTACTGCTTGAGGGTTGCCCAATCCACGACAGTTCCAACTTATGGTACTCATGTCAGATAGCGGGACGGACTCACAAAACCTGCCAATAGCCCCATTTTCATTCGCTTTTTTTTTTTTTTTTTTTTTAATTTATGCAACCAAATTTATCAAAATAACTCTCCACGAAGAGAGACGACAACTCTCCAGGAAGAGAGACGAAACAACTTCAGAACTAAAACTGCAGATGATCAGAAGCAAAAGGCAGCTGGCAACACATACATGTTCATAATTTTTGCTCTTTAGTCAATCTGTAATTTAACCAAACACCTGGCAGGCACATTGTCTATCAAAAAATAATATCGGTCTCCATCTAAAACCAAATCTCTAGTGATCGGCTTCTCTTAGCAAAACAAAGCAACAGACATCGATCTCAAATTTACCATTCTCACAATACAGAAGCAATGGCACAACATTTCAGCGACTCCAAACGACCAGACGTGATGAAACCAGGTTGATTATGAAAAGGTCCAGAAAAGACAAACCTGTGAATGAAGAAGAAAAGCACCACAGTGACCTCCATAACCAAACTGCAAAACCGCTATAGCCAATCCCATCGTCACTGAACTTGGGATCATGTTACTGCGGACATAATGTACCAACCAAGCAAAGTCATGGCTTCCTTGTCCTCTTTTCGCTGTTACATGTCTTTCCATTTATGCATTTCGTCGAACATTTGGCATGCACTTTCCTCTTTTGGATCCCTAGAGATCATGCAACTTGAAGCCTTATAAACATGCCCCACAGTTCTGCCATGAGAATAGAACAACTACCAAGATATTATATTTTATTAATCAAAATATTTTTTTTTTAAAAAAAAGTGTTTATCTCTACATGTCAACTATACAAATAAAATTCCTTTTAAAGCTTTTGCCTCCAGAATATAACCATATAATAACATATTAAAATATTTTTACTCTGTTTTCCTGAAAAGTGATTATATATAGAATGTTAAATGAGATAAATAAATGCTCACGAAAGTTGAAAGGTTTTCCTTTTAACTTATTTTCCTTCTAGCTGCTTCTTATTTTTGGCCCATGTAATTTCATTCTCCTTTTTTATTTTGGGTTTCACTTTAAATTTTTGCTTTCTCATTTCCATTTGAAAAAAAAAAAAAAATAAAGCAAAAAAATATCAATTAAAAAACTCAAGCCTTAAGATATGGTTTAATTTTATTTTTGGGATAATTGCAATTTTGGTGTATAAATTTTATAAAATTTTCTATTTTAATATATGAACGGAAAAAGTTAATAATTTAGTAAATGAACTTTTAATTTTTTAATAATTGAATTTATTTTACACACGGACATTTGAAAATCTACTTGGGACGGTTAGGTCCCACTTGTTCGTATTTTTTGCTTTTTCCACATGGATTAAAAATTTAGGGGACATGAAATGACTCCAATTCCCTCATCTATCTTCCTCTCCTCTCCCTTTGTGTAATCTCGAGCTGGAAATAATTGCTCACTTGCCTTTGTTCGGATCTGATGTCATTTCGCTATAAAGGTTTTCCAAAATTACAAAACTTCAGCAAACCCATCTCTTTTTTTTTTTTTTCCTCTTTATTTTTGTTTATTGATTTTAAATGGAGATTGTCCCTCTCTATCTATAACACTTTAACTTGTAACGAAACCCAGTTAAATTTGCTTTATCTTGGAATCAAAATAGATCTATCCTTTTTATCTCTATGTTCTTCTGCTAAAATGTTAGCTGATTACTTGCCAATGAAGAATGAGAATTCATTAATCAAAGAAATACTCATCAATGAATAGGAACATAAGAACCCATTTGTATCTTTAACCCCTTTTCATCTCTCCTATTTCACTTTACTATCACAAACGCAACGCTCTATCTCTACTTTCATTTTTAAACAATCATTTTTTCCTCTTTGTGTCAAAATCTCATATCTTTTTCTCGTCCTCTTTACCAAACTCTCCAACACCAAACCATGAGGACATTCTCTGGCTTTGTGAATAACAATGGTGGCTTCAAGAGCAGCAGCGATGGCTCCAGGAGCGCGAGTCTCTGCTTGCGAAATTCAATTGCTGAAGCTCCAAATTCAAGCTCTAGAGAAACTAATTTCGATGCAAGATCATATTTTGTGCCAGATATGATAATGAATGTTAGGGCTTTGTTATCGATTTTGACGAAGAAGAATCTCTATAAAATTTTTTCCGTCTTGTTTATTCTCGATTAAAAAGAGAGAGGGATAGGACCCTGAGATATGGGTAAGGATTTATGGTCAATTCTTGTTAACAGGGTCTTTAATCCACGTGGCAATCCATGTGAAATCCTATTTGGCACCTAATAAGTAAAATACGCATGAACAAGTGAGACATAGCCGTTCCACGTGGATTTTCAGTCACATGTATAAAATAAACTCAATTGTTGAAAAAATAAGAGTTCATTTACTAAATTGTTAATTTTTTTCGTATAATACATCAAAATAGAAAATTTCGAAAGTTCATACACCAAAATTGCAATTTTCCCTTTATTTTTCAAAAGTCATAGTTTAAGACTTTTACACTATTATCAATGTCATCCCTCCTATAATTTAGAGTGCACAAGCAAAATCTTTAAAGATTAAAGGGTGAATTAACATAGTTAGGTAAGATTCAGTTTATATAAATAAGATCACTAAATCTCTCATCTTTCCTTAACTTTAAAGAAAACACTGGTTATGTATCCGCTAATTACTGTAAAATTACTGTAACTTATATCTATGTTGCTTTAATTTAAATAATTTATTTATTTATATTTAATTAAAAATAAAAATTATAATTATAAGCTTTTTTTTTAAATTATCAAGTAATGAACTGAAATATTAATTAGAACAATTAATCATTGTACGTAAATTATTTTAATTCAAACTGATATAGTTAATTAATTATTTTCTCTTTAAAATTCTCATATATTCAAATTAGATGAGGTATAAGAATATTTAATTTTAATGAAATAAAATTAATTAGATGAGGTATAAGAATATTTAATTTTAATGAAAATAAAATTTTATTGAATTGAAATTAATATTTTAATTCTATTTGTTAAATGTAACTAATATTATTTAATTATTTATTAATTATGACTCTATTATTTTTATTAATTATGACTCTATTATAACTCCATTAGTTTTTTTATAAATAAAACTATTTTATAAAAAAAACTCAATATTTATTAAATGTAAAAATATTAATTATAATGAAATCATCCATTAAATTTATTAATCTGTAACTCCAAAATTTCATAAAAAAATAATTTTTATTAAATGCAAAGAATTTTAATTATAATGAAAAAATAAAATGTCACGTCATCAATTTAATATTCTAATATGTTACCACATAAGCATTTAAGCTTTAGAAATTATATATTTATATAGATAGATAGGTAGGTTTAATATTTCTAAACTTCAAGAAAAAATCAACAGGTATCATTACAGAATTACAAATATTACTTAAGTTTTTTCTCTATGATTGAAATCAGTTTATATTTATCAAGATTAAGTCTTTATCATAATAATCTTATGGCATGTTCGGTAATTTCAGCAATTTTAGTAGGTGTTAGCTGTTGTAGTAACTGTCAGCTGTTTTACAAGCTGTTAGCGGTTAGATAATAGCTGTTCGTGGTTAATTGTTTATATAGCAGTTTAAAATAGAAGTATTCAGTAAAAATAATTAAGTGTTTGATTAGCTGTTTAATATAAAAAAGACAAAAAAAAGAGTGAAGTCACAGAGAACAAAGCAAAGACAAGTGATGAGTATATGTGTCATAAAAAATTTATAAAACACTAATCGTTAATGAGAATAACGTTTCATGAAACATTACCCCAAACTCTAAACGTTAGGATAAATGTGACATTACCGAACACAATAATTAATTAAAATAGTTTTAATCCAATCAAAACACTAAACACTACTCCAAACGTTCTTGCCAAATAGAGCCTTAATTTATGCTATATATAAAAGTGGTAATGAAGAGGGGAATGATGAGATTTCCTATATTGTCTTTGTAAAATATAAGATACTCTGAAATAATCTTAGTCATAGCTAATTAAAAAATTTTGATATAAAAAAATATATAATATCTCTATAAATTTGATTTTTTTTTAAACTTTTTTTAATAGATAAATACATATAGATAATTAAGCATTTGAAAATTTAACATTTTTTTACTATTATTATCTTATTATGTCAATTATTGTTTTATTTTTCATATCATTATTATTAAATTATTAATAATAAATTTAATAATTTAATAATTTTATTTATTATTATTATTTATTATTTATTATTTTTATTTACTATTATCGTAATTTTTCTTCAACATTATTATATTAAATGAATGTGTAAAATATGAGACATTTGAAAATTTTTATTTTTTTAATTTATTTTAAATAAAGATATCCAGATAATTAAGATTTTAACTTAAAAAAGATATGGCTAAATTTCTTTAATTACAAATTGCACTCTGATTTGATTGGCTAAAAAAAATAAGATAAAAAACTATTATTTTCAAATATATCGAATTTGATTAATTATATTGATATTTTATTTAATTCAAATCATATTCTTTCTATTACGGAATATAATTTTATTAATAAAATTTTCAAATGATTTCACGATTTTGATTTGCTAAAGAAATAAAAATAAAAATATTATTATTTATGAATATTTAATTTAATTTATTAGATTATTTTCTTATTTTATTGTTAAAGTATATTTGTCTACTAAAAAAGATTATAGTGAAAATTATTAACAAAAAAATGTATGTTAATTATAAAACATAAAATAAAATCTATATGATGATTTTTATAAATTAATTTGGTACTTAAATAAAAAATAAAAATAACAGGCATATAATAAAAATTATATGAATTAGTATGTTAAGAGAAGATAAATGACATATTTCATATTTAAATTGCTATTTTAAAGGGATAAACAAATGTATCAATTTTTTTTCAATGAGATATTGCAATGCAAGACATATAATTAAAAAATATATATATATATATATATATAATATATATATATTATATATATATATCAATTATATATAATAATATATATATATATTAAACCACTATATTTATTGCAATTTAAATAAAAATTTATAATTTAATTATATAAATAAAAACAAACTAGTATAAAAATGAACAATAACAAATATAATTAACAATGCATCGCACGGTTATAAAAAAAAAACTTATATATAAAGCTGGAAATGAGGATTGAGTTTATAATTTAATTATATAAATAAAAAAACAAAACTAGTATAAAAATGAACATATAACAAATATAATTAACATGCATCGCACGTTATAAAAAAAAAAACTTATATATAAAGCTGAAAATGAGTTGAGTAGAATTTTGTTGAATCAAAACTTGATTTAAATTTGAGAAATCAAATTCAAACTTAAATTCATTAGTATATTTTTTGAAAAACATAATTCATTTACAAACTATGTTGCACGGAAACATAAACGGAAACGGAAATGGAAATAAAGAAACATATAAATGACGTTTATACCCAAAACAACAATGGTATATAGGAAAGGGAAACGAAAACAGAAACGAAGAAATGTGAAATTCAAATATAAATTTACACAGAAAAACGGTATTTTTTACATAAAATGGTTGCACAAAAATTTGTCCGAAACTCGAAAATGTTCATAGCTAGAAATTTCTGTACATCACATATTATAAAAAACTTAAGCTTAATTTTAATGAACTCATGAAAGGAGCTTGAATAACTAAAACAGTTCCGCTCGCCTCATTTCCAACTCTCTAAATATGTCCCATATCCTCAAGATAGGTTAAAGAATATTGTTAGACTTTTCCATTTTGAAGATTATATATGCTAAATTGCTAATTAAATGTCATTTTCAATATCTCATCAATCTCATTTCCAAGTTGTTGTAGTTAAGCCAATAGATGGTAGAGTGGTAGTTCTGCTGACTCCGTCCACCACCTTACTCTTCTTCCCATGTCGTTTCCTTTACGTCACAGTTATTTTTATAAACAAGGACCACATTTTAAGTAAACCATTAAACTATCCAAAAATCTCTCTTCCAAGCTACTAAACTACAATTTTCCTTGCGCGCTCTCTCTCTCTCTCTGTATGGGTCTTTCGCATCCGTAGACCGGTGCAAAGTCTCCTCTCCACGCACGTCCTCATTTACCTCCCTCTCTGGCTTTTTTCCCAGGAAACAAGCAGTAGAGAGAGAGAGAGAGAAAAAAACAACAGCCCTTTAACGCAAAACCTTGAATGGTTCTTGATTTTGTTAATTTCCATGGCTTTTTTTAAAAAGTTGGTGCCTTTATTATTTCTGTTATTGGCAATTCTTAATAGCTCCGTGTTTGGTCGTTTTGTGGTAGAGAAGAGTAGCATAAGTGTGTTGTCTCCTTTAAGTCTTCAATCAAAACATGATAGTGCTATAGGAAACTTTGGTATACCAGATTATGGTGGAGTTTTGGTGGGTTCTGCTGTGTATCCTGATAAAGAAGCTTTTGGATGTCAAGCCTTTAGTGGTGATAAGCCTTTCAGGTCCAAGACTCCTCGCCCTACCATTCTCCTTCTTGATCGTGGAGGTATTAATTACTTTGATATCTGCTGATATTAAAATTTTTATAGATTAATTTTGAATTAGTACAAGTTTATCCTTTGGCTTTGATGTTGCAATTGTGTTTAGTCGACTTTTATGATTGAAATGTATTATGCTTATGGTGTTAGTTAATTGTCATTCTAATTAATTTAATCAAGTACTTTCCGTGCTTACTAGTTATAGTTTTGCAAAAATATTGGTCAATGCTTCAGTTTTAACCTTCTAAGAATTGTTCCTTCTCTGTGTTTCGTTTTTTGTGTTTCATTTTTAAAATTAGTTATATTTATCCATTTGGTTTGATGTTTCCACTTCTATAGAGTGATGACATAGCAACAAAGTGATCTGCAGGTAGTTCTCTCAATTCTAGTTTCCTTTTTGTGTGTGTTTCTTGGTACTTATTCCTTGTTGGATTGTAATTACCAAATAAAAATAAGAACGGTAGCATTCTTGCCAAGACTTGAAATGGTATTCGGAAATAAGTAGCTAATACTCTCTAGCAAGTCTACTAGTCATATCCATACCAGATAGAGATTCTTTAATTACATTACCGTATTTTGATCTTTTTTCTATTATTCTTCTTGGAAATGTAGAATGCTATTTTGTTTTAAAAGCATGGAATGCCCAACAAGCTGGAGCTGCAGCAATTTTAGTGGTTGATAGTATAGAGGAGCCATTAATAACTATGGACTCTCCTGAGGCAAATGGTAATTCAGATGGTTACGTAGAGAAGATTCAAATCCCATCAGCATTGATAGAAAAATCTTTTGGTGAAAGCTTGAAACAAGCCGTGAAGAACGGAGAGGATGTTGTCATCAAAATGGATTGGAGAGAGTCAGTACCTCATCCTGACCAGAGAGTCGAATATGAGCTTTGGACAAACAGTAATGATGAATGCGGGACTCGTTGCGATGAGCAGATGGATTTTGTTAAAAATTTCAAGGGTCATGCTCAAATCCTCGAGAAAGGGGGTTACACATTGTTTACTCCACACTACATTACTTGGTACTGTCCACGATCTTTTACTCTTAGTAGTCAGTGCAAGTCTCAATGCATAAACAAAGGAAGATATTGTGCACCTGATCCAGAACAAGATTTTGGTGAGGGATATCAAGGGAAAGATGTAGTGTTTGAGAACTTGAGGCAGCTTTGTGTCCATAGAGTTGCTAATGAGAGTGGCCGGTCTTGGGTTTGGTGGGATTATGTGACAGATTTTCATATCAGGTGTTCAATGAAAAAGAAGAGATATAGCAAAGAATGTGCTGAGGATGTTCTGAAATCACTCGGTAAGTTCTCTTTTATAATTTTACTTAATTTATAATAGAATCCTTTTTGGATCGATTTTCTTATGCTTATAATGTATCAACACAGACCTTCCAGTGGATAAGATCAAAAAGTGCATGGGTGAGCCTGAAGATGATGTGGAGAATGAAGTGCTTAAAAAAGAACAAGAACTCCAGGTCATGCTCCTTTGTTTTCCAGTTTCCTTCTTCCAATGCATTTCTAATACACACACATGTGGATGCACTTGTCAACAGATGCAGATGGCTAGGAATTTAATCTAAATTATCTATACCTAATGCACTTAAAGTTTTTGATTTGCTGAATTTAGGTTGGGCGAGGATCACGTGGTGATGTTACCATCTTGCCAACTCTGGTTATTAATAATGTTCAGTATCGAGGTATATATACAAGGGCCATATTATAATTGTGAATTAATTATCTTATATATGTCTTATGTCAATATTTAAGGATTGAGGTACTGTATGAATGTGTTTCAGCTGATTAAAAATTATAGAACATACTCTATAATGTCCCAAGTCATGCAGAAAAAGTACGTCTCTGAATTTGACATTCTAGTGCCTCTTCACAGTAGGTCTTACTTGTCACTTCCCATTATCTAAATCCCAGCTTCCAACTGTTTTGCCTTGAGCAAAGGAAGCATCTCATTTAGTATAATTTGAAATGACATAAATGGCAGAAATCATAAGTACTCTTTTCACCATCTTGTGTTTCTTGTCATTCTAAGAATATCACACTGTTCATGATCAGACATGGAAGTTCTGTGTAACAAACATATGTGGTTCACATCGAAAAAAAAAAAAAAAATCTATGTTTATATACTCATGAAAATCTTCCTTTTTTCCCACTTGGCTATCTTAATCTCATCTATGTTAAAGTCTTGCTCAGTTGGTATGTTTTTTTTCTCAGTTTGGTTCGCTTATGACATGTCTTTCTGCTTGCTTATCCTGTTCTTTTTTTTTTGAATGACCAACTCATCTTTTCCCCAAAACTTTTCTCAATTCATGTTTTTTTTTTTTTTTTCTTTCTCCATCTGTGGTCCTTCAGTTTCTAAGTTTTTGTTCTTATTTTGTTTTACAACCATAAATTTATGATAATGTTTGATTTAATTTTATGTAAGTCCTTACTAACTTGTCACTGCAAAGTGTAGAATTTTGATGAGACTATTTTTTTTTTCTTTTTGACTTTTTTTTCCCTTGATCTGAAGGAAAATTGGAGAGAACAGCTGTACTGAAGGCCATATGTGCTGGATTTAAGGAGACCACTGATCCTCCAATCTGCTTAAGTTCAGGTTGATCTGCTTATTTAACCTTCAACCAAAGACTAAAACAGTTACTTTCAAATTATGAAAATAAAATGTCTAGTTAATGTTTTTTTCCTATGCTTACTGAATACTGAATTTTCTTTGTTTTACGTTCATAGATCTCGAGACAAATGAGTGTCTTGAAAGGAACGGAGGCTGTTGGCTGGGCAAAAAATCTAACATATCTGCTTGCAAGGTATAAGGATAAAAGTTTCCAATTCATGCCCCTCATGAAGATTGCTCTGCTAGAACTATTCTTTTTTTTTTCCCCTGTTTTCCTTTTTTTTTTTTTTTCCTCCCTATATGCTCATAGTAGCATCATGAACTGGTTTAGGACACATTTAGGGGAAGAGTATGTGAATGCCCCACTGTGAAGGGTGTCCAGTACAGAGGAGATGGTTATATGTCTTGTGAAGGTACTTTTTCTTTCCTATTTGAGAAATGTGATTTATTTTTCAATGATTTTATAACAGAAATGTAACTTTGGTGACTGCAAGAATCAAGCGAAAATTGAGAAATGTCTTCCTGATCTAAAATGGAATATTAGTAACATTGCTATCAAAAGAATATCCATCCTTCCCTGTTTAATGCATTTGGAAATTATGAGCGTATGATCATAAAAGAGGATTCTAAAACTAAAACTACTAATGAAGCTCTGTCAACCATTAAGGCCTTAACAAGTTGTAACCTCATTAAGTCTAGTAGTAGTTCATGTGGCTTTAAACTATTCAATGGACAGTATGTAGTTTCTTCATGAGTACAAAATTCTGAGAGATATCTCCATCATATCATTCCATTCCTTTTTAGTTCTAGATGAAAAATAAAATTTGGTTAGCTTAGGGGGTCAAAATTTGAAGTTTCACTTTTCGGTTCTAATAGAAAGTTTAAAATCTTTTTTTAAAAAAAATTTATGTGAGTTCAGATGACTTTGGCTATAAAATCTGTAAGATATTAAGTTTCTGCCAAACTGTTCCAGCCAGGGACAGGGTGCTATTTTGTTTCTTCTGTTGTTGTGGAGTTACTGACTGTTTTTCTTTCTCTAATTGACAGCATTTGGACCTGCAAGGTGCATCATAGATAATGGAGGATGCTGGTCAGAAACAAGAAATGGATTAACATTCTCAGCATGCTCAGTTCAGTGACTTAAGCATTGTTTTCTGTTCGACTGATGCTCTTTGATACTTGTTTAGTTAGTCTTGTTCATTATAGTAAATAATTTCCTTTTTCTTATTTACCATCTATATTAAAATTCATATCTATACCAAATAGGAATCTCAATTATCAGGCTGTCAATGCCCAGAAGGTTTTCAAGGAGATGGTCATGATAACTGTGAAGGTTATTTTCTTACACTAGTTTTATTATCAAGAACATTTTAATTATATGATTCTTCCTCCTTTTTTTTTTTTTTCCCCTTTGTACTTTCTGATCTCTTATAATTCTTAATTTTGAAAATCTTCTATTATATGCCAGATATCAATGAATGCAAGGATGGTATGGCTTGCCAGTGTGATGGCTGCTCCTGTAAGAACACCTGGGGTGGATATGAGTGCAAGTGCAAGGGAGACCTCCTTTACATCAAGGAACAAGATGCTTGTATTGGTAAGACAATAAACTTATCTCATGAATGTAAAAGATGGTATGTTGTTTGTCACTGAATATAACATATCACGACATTTCTTGCATTCACTCTACAGAAAGAGCTGGATCTCAATTTGGATGGTTCATCACCTTTGTAATTGTAGCGGTTGTAGGAGGAGCTGGTTTTGCTGGCTATATATTCTACAAATACAGGCTACGGGTATGTCTAGCTGTCTATTTGGCATTGTGGTTAGTTGCTTTTATCAGAGTGTAGTAACCTTTAACTTTAACCAAACCATAGTCTACCAGAAACATAAAATTGAAAAAACAAAATCAAAATGAAAATTTTTGTAAAGCGGATTGAAACTCAATGCTAAACAGAGATATAAATACACTGCATAATGTCTCGGTTTTTGTCCATACCGGTTTTAGTGATGAATTACTTGCTCATATCATTTATCTTTCTCCACTCAGTCTTACATGGACTCAGAGATCATGGCTATTATGTCACAATACATGCCACTTGATAACAACCACAACAATGAACCTTCAACCGAAGCACAGCCTCTGCGACAAGGCACATCTGTCTAAGGTAGCATATCGCTTTCCTTCTATGACTAATCTGAATTTGGTGATAGTCATTCTAAAGTTTTCTTGATTTGCTGTCACATTTTCAGATTATCTTTAAGCTAAAGCAATCTGTTGTTCAAAGAATGTTTGCATCAGAAGAATGATGGTGTAAATTTTTTATACCCAATGGCAGCTTTTGCATAAGCTGAGAGAGGTTCACTTCTTGATCTGCTATATATTATCAAGACCTTGCAAGTTACCATACAGACTGATACTTCACAGAATTTTTTTCTTTACCCTTCTTCTTCCACTGTAAATAAAATAGTTGAGTTGTAAATTTAGCAGCAAGGGTTAATAAGGAAACAGTTGGATGATCAATACACAAGGAAAATGAAAGAATAAACAAAAGGATATGTAAAATTAAATATCGATTAATAATGTCTTAGTTTTAGTGAATTTTAGAAGCTTAATGTTAATACAAATTTTATGTGCTGATGTTTGGTGTTACCATCTTGTTCAAATCCAAAGCACTAGAATGTTTTCCAATTCAAGTTTTTGGTTTTTAGTTTAACTAGTCTTTTTTATAACGTGCGTTACACATTGATTATATTTGTTATTCGTACTTGTTTAATTTTTATATCATTTTTTACTTATTTACTTGTTTTTATTTTTAAGTATTAAATATTGATTATAAGTTTTCTCTTATATTATTCATATTTTTATAATGTTAAAATAAAATTTCATATACGATTAATGTGAATATAACGATTAATTAATAAAACAGTATTGTGTATATAGACTCACATTTCAGCTTAATTTATATCGTCATTTATTTAAATTTATTATAACTACAGTATCATCTAATAAATATGTTTCAATCTATATAGATATATAGATATAAGAATAAAATATTATATATATGACTCACATTTCAGCTTAATTTTTAATCGTCATTATTTAAAATTCATTATAACTACAATATCACATAATAAAAACATGTTTCAACATATATATATAGATACATAGATATAAGAATAAAATATTATATATATCTTTAAAATTAAAATTTTCAACTATTCATCATCCTACACATATGTTCATTTTATTTAAAAATGAATTTTAAAAGTAAAAATTTTAAAATTTTAAAAGACTTAATTATGTATATTCTATTTGAAAATTTGTTATAAAAAATATTTTTTTTCCTTTTTTATCTCTCTCTAAATAAAATATTTTAAATTATAATAAAAATAGAATCAAATATATAAAAATTAAATTTATAAAATCAAATATAAAATTTTCAAATGTCTCATTATCATGTCTCATTATGATATATATTTAGTAAAAAAATGATATGTTCATACTGATTTTTTTTTAAAGAAAAATATCATGTGCTATATTTAAATATCTAATCACATTACATTTTTTGAGAAAATAAATTTATTTTTGGTATTAAAAATTCTTAAATTATTTTTTAATGATTTTTCCTTATATATTTGAAATATTTTCATTGTTTTATATAATAATTTAGTTTAAACAAATGTTAAAAGAAAAAGTTAAAAATATGGTCCGTTATTGCAATAAAATAAATAATTACATGTATACATGTATTATAGAAATGAAAGTTTAAACAAATACTCTCGGGTACCATTAAAGATAAATATGATTGTTGATTGATTAAATATGATTGTTGATTGATTTAATAATTAATTCATTGTGAAATTGAAAAATAATCGAATTTAACCGAGATTTAATCGAATGTAAATTTTTTAAATCAATTAATAAAAAATTATTAAAAAAAAGTCAATTGATTAATAATTTAATATCATAATTTTTCAAATTAAAAACTCATGTCATTTAATAAATTTAAATTATTATCAACTATCCAAAAGAGTATTTTAGGATTTCTAAAATTTCAGTAAAGTTATTATATGCAATCCATTATTCCCCCTTTCACTTTTTTTTTTTTTTTTTGTGTAAACTACTAGTATCCGAACCCTGTTATCAAGGATCGCCTTATTCATAGTTGAGACTCTTTGCCCCTCCCTACAGGTGTGTTTAGTGGGGATCAAACTCGAAAACTCTTCCCACATGCCCAGCCTCCGTTGCCAACTGAGTCACAACTCGTAGGTTTCCACTTTTATATATAGTACTAATATTTTTTATGATGTGCCTTGTACGTTAATTATGCTCGTTGATACTCATTTTTTTTACTCTTTTGATTTTTTTTATTTATATAATATTAAAACATAAATTTTTGTTTAGATTAAAATAAATACAAGTGATTAATTTATATTACATTTTACCGTACAAGCTCCTTGTAATGATAATGGCATAGTAGCAATATTACTTACCCAGTATATTAGAGAAAAGAATATATGCACATATACACAAATTTTTGAAATCCCAAAAAGTGACCCAAAACATAAATATATAGTTTTAGTCTTGTTCCAGTTTTTCTAAATATTTTCTTTCAAGTCAAATAGATTTATGATATAAGAGAAAAAAAATATCAATAAAATTAAAATGTTTAATCATTAAGAGACCATCTATTTATTTCTAGGTAGATATAAATCTCTTACTAAATTAAAATGATACTTACTAAATTAAAATGGATAAATTTTTCAGAAGAGTAACGAATAAAAAATTAAAAATAAAATAAAAAATAAAAAATAGTATTAAAAATAAAATTCTTTTCCGAAACTTATCTAACCAAAAAGTTTCCAATGTATATAGATATATTAAATATATTAATTAAATATATATATATCGTTTTAAAATTTAAAATCATATTGTTCGCCAACCTACGCACCGTATATTCATTTGTTAAAGATAAAAATTTGAAAAAAAAAATTAAAAACTTTAAAGGTTAATTCATTTTGTTAAAGATAAAAATTTTGAAAAATAAAAATAAAAATTTAAAAACTTTGAAAGGATTAATTGTGTGTATTCAATTTGAATTTTTTTTTATAAAATATATCCATTCAAATCATATAAACATAAAGAAAAAAATATTAATAAAAATAATATATTTTTTTATGTCTCTCCTAAAAAAAAAAAAAAAGTATATTCTATTTGAAAATTTATTTTTAAAAAAATATATCCACTACAAAAAAATCGGCAAATTGCGACCGATTATTGTGACCGACTCAAATCGGTCGCAAATTTGCGACCGATTTGCGACCTATTTGCAAACAGTTGCAAATTGTAGCGCCAAAAATTTCTGCGAGTTTGTATTTCAGTTTGCGACAGATATACAATTGATTTGCGACCAATTTTGCGACCAATATACGAGTACGCTTTATTCCGTCGCAAAATTGGGCGCTTCAAAATAAGGAATAAAATCTGAGACCGATTTGCGACCGAAGAATAAGGTCGCAAATCGGTCGCAAATTTATTGCAAAGTAAAACGACGTCACAGAGTTAAAAATTGCGACCGGTTTTAATGAAATTTGGTCGGTGGCAAATTTTAGGGCTTTAAACGCCAGACGCCCTCCTTCTTCTTTCTTCTTCTTTCTTTCTTCTCCTTCTCCTCTCCTCTCCTCCGTTTGTAGCACCGCTCCAGCCCCTCCTGACGCCGCTCCAGCGCCGCTCCAGCCCGCCTGACGCCGCCACCTCTGCTCCATTGCACGTCCGGTCACTCCTCAACGTTCGCAACCGTTTGGACATTAGTTGAGGTAATTAGTTTTGCGATTTAATTTTTTTTGATTTTTTTTTTGCGATTTATGTGTTACTGTTATTATTATTATTATTATTATTATTAATAATATTGTTACTGTTGTTGTTATTATTATTATTATTATTATTATTATTGTTATTAAAATTGTTACTGTTGTTATTATTATTATTATTTAAATAATAAATTACCCTTATTATTATTCAAATGATTATTATTGTTATTAAATTGTTACTGTTATTATTATTATTATTATTATTATTAATGTTATTATTATTATTATTATTATTAATATTGTATTGTTACTTATAATTTAGTACAATATGCATTGATTCTAGTTTAACCCTTTCTGTTTCTAAATGAATTGAAAAAATAATAAAATAAATTTAAATAGTTTTCGATTGAGTATGCACGTGACTAATAAATAAAATAAGTTTTACAGTTGTAAAGTTATTTTCTATATCAATTTTAATAAGTTAAATTGCGAATAATTAGAAATATTTCAAAAATTTATGCAAAGATGCAAGCATTCGGTTTAAATTCAGGTTTTAAAACCAAACTAAATTAGTTAGTTTTTACTTAACCTCGACTCAGTTCTATTCTTATATTTCATTTCTTTTGGTGCAAGTAATTAATGTGATTTTTTATGAGCAACAATTTTGTATAATTAATAATTTTAAATTGAAAATTTTATACACTCTTATTATTTGAGGAAAAATTTATACTAACTTTTTTTTAAATTTGTTATTTTAAAAAAGAAGTTATTTTAAATGCATTAAGTAAAATTATAAGTGAAGATTATAAATTTAAAATTATTTAATACCCGAGTGCCTTATAGATTGGACCATTTATCAAAGATTTAAGAATTGTAATTTTAATATTCATAAATTAAAGGATAATAGAAGCCCACAGGGAATTAAAAAAAAAAAATTCCAATGGCAAAAAAAAAAATCTAATGGCTGTGATTGTAAAGAGTAGGTGTGAGAATGTTAGATGTGCTCGGTGCTTTACCATTTTTAGGTACAAATAAAAAAGAAAATGAAAAAGTGATGTGCTTCATAAATGGGTTAGAGTGAAATAGAACATTGTTTGGAAACATAGTTACAGATATTTATCAGAAGGGGAAAAAGACAAAAAATAACGAGTACAAATATTTTAAAAAAAAAACTAGTCCATTTTGTTATTATTCAAATGTTAAGCAAACAAAAAACTAGTACAAATATGCATTTTTTTTTATATTATTGTCGTTATTATTCCTTAAATATGTTTTTTTTTTAAATAAATTTGATGAGTTTGGATTGAGAGGCCTAGTAGTGGCCATTTTGCCTTTGGAGAATGTTGGTATGACTACTTAAGAAGTGTTGTGTTTATTGAAGTGTCTTTGTATTTGAGATTTGATTGTGTTGTGCCGAAATGCTGCCGAATTCTTTTCCAAAAAATTCAATATGTGGAATAGTACACTTACCTTTATATAAGTAGGTTTATATATTATTATATAACCTTTGTATTGAATAAATGAACTTAGTGATTTTACATTTATATATAATTATCCTTATTATAGAAATAACCTTAGTTAGAAGTGTAAATTGAACATTACATTGTGGCATGTTTTAAGGATGGTTTAGTCTAATGGAATTACATATAATTTGCCCTTTATAAACACAGTGTTCATCTTTTAAGGATGGTATAGACTAATACAATTACATATAATTTGCCCCTTATAAACACAGTGTTAATTGGGTAAAAAAAATGCGACCTAATCGAGATTGGATGTACTAGAGGTTCAAGGTTAATGGGATAGTAAGCCAAGAGTTTCTGTGAGGATTGGAGCTGT